TAAAGTCCATACAACCATTGGCATGACAATGAAAACTGACATTCATCATTCAATATAGATATTGTCTAATGTATCAGCATGTGGGCATTCTTTTCTTCTTGGAGGCTGTAAATGATTAAACAGACGGCAGTCGTTTCACCTTCCAGCAAGACAATGACTGCAAACATAGAAACATTAATGAGCAAAACTTTTAACCTAGATATTCTGCCTTCTGCATGTCATCATAACAATGCTCCTCCATTATGCCGTTTACAACTGGAGTATTGAACTGAGGGGTAGTTTGTATGATGACCTCTACAGGCATGCAGTTCCACCAGGCGTCTGCCAATTGCTACTATAGCTAATCTGGAGGACCTGTGTTTTACGAGGGAATAACATTTTAACATGATATAATGTTCAAAACAGTTGATTTTCCATAATACCATTCCGATCCCCTATACTCCTCTTTAAATACTTCTGCAAAAGTCTTAAAAGCCCTATGATCTGAAAGCATTAAATATGCATGCTTTCATCAGTGCTCTTATTGGCTGACTTTACTTGGATCACTCGGATAAACCTCGATCTCACTTTCTTTGAAAAATGATTAAATGTGGCCTTTCATTTCCTGCAATTTTGATTTTCAATCTTTTTCCCTAGCAACTTTTTTTTTTTTTTCTTTCCATGTCTTAGAGCACGAAGCAGTCTCTGGTCAAATTGATGTAATTTTTATGCGTAATGAATGTTATGAACATAAGCACAAATGCACTGGGTAAAATGCTAAAATGTATTGGAGTCTTCTTGACTTGTTCTCATAAAAGTCAAATTATGTTACAGTTTAATTATAAGGGTGTGCATGTTTCCCTAAATGAATAATAAATTATACTATCATCATTCCGCTTTTCCACCTCTTTCCACTCATCAGCTTCTTTTTCCAACCTCTTTTATGATGAGATGGAATATTAGTTGGAGCTTTAAGACATGCATTTCCTGATTTTCTGAATCCCCCAAATGTAGCCTTTAGAGTTGTTAGGCATAGTTTTGAGCAGCCCAACTTTACTGTCAAATACATACATGGTGGGAAACCTGTATTGACATGTGTCCTATTTTACATAATGCTCAAGCCCAAGGGATTACTGCTGTGAGTGCACGAGCCCGTAAAACGCTTCTCACATATTCAGAGCAAATTAGCCTCCAAATCCATGTAAGCTACGGAAAGCTGAGAAGGAAAGCAATAATCGATGACAGAGGTTTTCTTTGGCGCTCTTAACAGCAGAGTTATTTATCTGTTCTGACACCAGTCACCATGGTGTCTCAACTCCGAAACCAATAAGATCCAGAAAATGAATGTGTTGAACAATTAAAGTCTCTCGAACGATGATCAGAGACTGTTTTCACATTTCCTTCAACTATATTTGTTGTCCAATTTATTAGTTTGCTCAAAGGCAACGTGACGCATGGTGTAGCAACCTGCTGTTTACTGAAGGTAGCTGTGCGGAAGCAATTAATTAAAGCATAATTTAAATAATAGCTTGTTATGTTCAAATTAAATCATAGTTAGGGTGTGTTGTCTGTTACATTTGTCTATAGCCAAGTTAAGACTGCAAACACTGATGTTTGATTTATTGTTTTTATAATCTTCTATTGACTTCTTATGACAAGACCTTTCAAAATTGTCTGAGAATTTAAGCTGAACTCAGAAGGTTTGCAACCCAAATGTTAATGTCACCATTTTTTTTTTTTTATGTAAGACTTTAAAGGGCACAAGGAGAATTTGTAGCTACAAAGTACATTTTGCAGGACACTGAATTCTGACTGTTGTCAAACTATAGTTGCGTTTTTGGATTCTAAGTTGAAGTTATGTCTATATCTAAGTATCCATCATTCATGTAGGTGTTATATGTCCATATGTCTGGTCAGATAAGATATGCATATGCACCACCATCCAGAAATCTAAGCATCCCTCCAAAGATGAGCTGTTTTACCTTTCTTACCATCCATTGTTGAGGAGTTGCGTACGTGCAAAGACATTTTCGTGCATTTTCTGGTGCAGTTTTATGTATGTAAAAATAATGTATGTAAAAAAAAAATGATGACAACTCACCAAAAACTCTCCGTTTGTCTTTATAAAATAAAAGACACAGAAGGGGATGTAATATGGTGGTTCTGACATGTGATATTTTACCAGTTATGCAGCTATTCTTAATGTTCAAGGAGTGGTGAGAGTTTGTAAGCCTTTGGGCTAAAAAGGAAATGGACCGGGGATTTTCTTTTAGTGATAAGGTTGACTGCACTGGGCTGTGAAAGTGCTCCACTAACTAATTATTTGAAGCCTCCTCTTAGATTAGTGTCGACGTGCAGAGCTTATGGACAGTTGCATAGCAGACAATCAGACCATGTAATGACCACAGTTCCAATATTTGCTGAAATCCACTATAACACCTCGCAAAACAAAAGTGTGGAAGGTCCTAATGCTCAGTCCAATCCCACGGCACAGTGCCTTCATAAACACAGACGCCATCTTCACAATGGACAGCATCTTTACTCTGGCAATTAGGCAGAGCTTTGGATTATCACTTTTTCAGTCCAGCACACACCAAATCCATCCAGATTCAATTATTTCCCTCCCATTTCTGCGGCCATTTGGGCCTTTTGGGCTCGGGCCCAGAAGAGAAATGCTTAAAAGGATCTAAACTGCTAAGAAGTAAAAAAAAAAAAGTTGTTTTTTTTAGATTTAGCTTTCTCCATAGTTTTTATTTTTTTTATTTTTTAGTATATATATGACAAGTGTATACAATAAATGTAACCTTGTTGCACTCCACCAGTGTTATGGTAGATATTTTGTGAAAGCAGCAAGTTGCATTTCTCTCCCTCAAGTTTTGTGTTCTGTTCAAAACAAGCAGAACTACATCTGGCTTTCAAGAAACCAATACTTTCTTTCTGCCCGTGTGGAGTTAGTCTCCCCTTTGGCCCCTGCATAAGAAACTAAAAAGCTCACAGAAAGTATTTGATTTAGTCTGTATTACTGTGTCTCAGTATATTTAAGCTTATTAGAAATCTCACTCTCTCAAGAACTGTATAAAAAACTCAAGCTTGTTGGAGTCAGGAGCCTCTGATCTCTCAAGGCCTTTCTTTAGGGGTTTTGCTAAGTAGCTTTTATTTCTCTACCTTGTCTGTTTAAGTAAGTTGATTTCTGGACAAAGCTCTGTTGCATTTGTGTTTCTTGGGATATAATTTTTTGCGGATTTAGTCTTTCTTTTGACAGTCTAGAGCAGATATGCATCGGTTGGATTCAATACACAAGGACACCATAGCAACATTGTAAACAGCATAGACCTTTTTGAAAATTCTGTTACTTCTTGTAAGAATTTTTATGTTATGATAACATTAAATAAAAAATACCATGCTTTAATAATATTTTCACAAAAATGTGTATAAAACTGAATAAAGCAAATACACATCTGCTAAAATGGTATAGCATTATGATAATAACAATTCTATAATATAACAATTGTTAATTTGAATTTTCAGCATAAAGTAAGCCAATAATATGAAACAAATAAGGGCTTGTTGCTGCTATGCTCTTTATTGAATTGCAGTTGTTACAAGCTGGTTAGCGAATCAGGCTGATTGCTCAGGTGGAGTCAGCAGTTGTCTTCAAGTTAACGTTTCCTTTCAAGAATGGTACGTGGCACCCTTTCTCACAGCTCCATTGTCTTTGTGTTTTATGACTAGAAATGCTTCTCAACTGCTAAAGTTGTCCCTTCTGTAATTGAGGGAAAATTGAAAGTCCACGCCTGCACAGCAGCACATCGGAGAATGGCTACACAGTGCCACTCTATGCTTCATACAGCTGAAGAAAACATTGTTGACTCGGTTGCTTTCTCTGGAAACTCATTAAAATTACCTCAAAGGATATGTCACAATTTATTTTTTACAACTTTTCCATTTCAGTTGCCTTTGGATCTCTTACAACGCCATCATCTCCAGCTGAATTTGAAAATTCTTATGTGGAGCTTTAGATGATGATTTCTCCACTAGGGAGGAAGAGGTCAGGGGAACTGTTGCTTTCCAGCTGTTGCTTGGAGACATAGCAGACCGGCACCCTAGGAGGATTCTGAGACATTCTGATGAGCGCAGTCTGCTTGTAATTCACCACAGTGACAAATGAGCCCTTGTGACTAAAGCTGTAATTTAAAACACAAAAAAATCTGACAGCATTTAGGTAGATATTTCAGTTTTTGCTCGGAGCCACGAGGGCTTCAGCACTTGCTTTTCTCCAGAATACTAGAATACTATAGCAATACTTTCTCTGTGCATAATACTTTGTTACACTTTTCACAACATTTCAGTTTGTGTTTAACCATTAGGATTTACTAGCATTATAGCAATGTAGCTATCAACATGTTATCACTACAACACTCGTAGGACTGCAGTTATTTCCCTAATAAAAAAAAGGCTTTTGCCCCTAAACTGCCACTTTAAGATAATGGTCCACATGTGGGTGATGGAGCGGAAGTTCAAATACAGCAGCTGCAATCAAATGTTCCCCTCTTCATTTGGTTTAGTCACAAACAACACCCTGGACCCCCTCAGTGATCAGGCTCTTCACTATATGCTCTATCTGTGTATCGTCTTTCCTTTGTTTCTTTCCCTACATCCAAGATTTTAATGTGCTCAGAAAGTGTTTCCAATGTAGAGTTTTTGGTGTGTTAGAGGGAAATTTGGTCTCTTCACCTTATTACTTCAATGGATCGTGCACAAGTTTTGTACATTGTAGCCAAAATACATTGTTTTCTATTTTTTCACTATTAATTAGCCAACCACCCATTTGTTATATTCCCAACAAATCTTTTGTTAAGACAGTAATCATTTATCTATATACTGGCATAGACAATTGTTTACATTTTGAAACCTTGATGTATCTTATTAACAGTAACTGGCTTGTGCATGCCTGTAACTATACAGTATAATACACTGTATTATAAACTGTTCTTCTGTTTTTGCTCTCTTTTTTTGTCCAGGTACTACAGTATCACCGCAAAAAGGTAAAGCAACACTCAGTCACCTCTGAATTTCTACATATGTGCTGTGCGTTGTGTTGCCTGTATGCTGAGTGTCAGTGTGCAGTCTAAGGTTTTTGCTAATGAGATTAAGGAAATTTCATGGTCTTGTTGATTACGCTGGAATTGTCAGTCTGGATTTCAGCTGAAGAACAGTCTGTTTGATTACAAAGTCAATCAATCACACCCACTGATACAAAGTCTAAATTATCGCGGAATGACAGGCAGCCCACAGTGTGTGTTTAGGGCTGCCTTTTGTACTACTTGTGTTAGCACTAATCACACTTCTGTTTAGACTCCTCCACACTTTCATGTGTATATGTTAATTTGAAGTTGGAGGAGGGGACTGTTTTTGAACAGTGGATCATCAGGGACTCATGGGACACGTACTGGGGATGGATGTTTTTAGAAACATGCTGGTAGGCTGTTATAATTTTTGTAGGATAATGGGGTTGTGCAGTCAAATTGTCTAAAACCCCTTCGGGGTGTTGTTCTGACTAGCAGCCTGTAGATACATGCATCAGGCCACCTAGCTTCTGTTCTTCCTGCAGAGGATGCACCAATGTCAGAGGGTGTGTCACGCTAGGTAATTGCAAAGCAGACAATCAGCAACGAGAACTCCCCACGGATTTTCTTAAAAACTTTTTTATCCCCTCCAGTGCTTATTAGAACTTGGGGTTGTTTTGTAGCTGCTTTTACCATAGCGGAGCAGAATGGAGGTGTCTATTGACAAGTCAATCCGACGTGATCTGGATGCAAATAAGAAGAGGGAAACAAACTCAAACACTGTATTTTTATTTTTTTTTTTACCTACCAAATCTGCTAAAACTGCTAATATATTTCAAAAAGAGACATTGAAAGCGTATATCTGTGTGACAGTTTACACTTGGTATGCCCCTTGTTTGCACACATACACACTTTTGTGGTCCTATGTACGTAATGACCGTGGGTTGTACAGTGCTGTCAGATGGGGCTATAAAGGTAAGTGATGCAGGCTGCCTGAGCCTCCTTCCCTATGATGAATGTTGACGGGGAGCAGAGGCTGAAATGGTGAACATCATCGCCTCACAGCTGCGCTCACACACATCTCTCAATGAGAGGCAAATAAGTAAGGCACCATAACCCTGACAGTGAATGAGTGCTCATTTTACTTTTCCCATATGTCCGCACTTGTATCTGACCTTTCAGCTTCTGCAGTGTCTTGTAAAGGTATGCATATTTGAATGTTTTGAGAGTTTTTCACATTGTAACTACAAACCTCTTTGTATTTTATAAGGACTTCATAATGATGGGCTCATAAGAAAATGAAGGATTTTTTTCTCTTTTTTTAGATTTTTTTTTTTTCTGAAATAAAAATCTAAAAAAAAACAAAGTCAATACAAGTCTTTGAGGTTCTGCATATAACATCTTTGCCCATGTGGAAACTGAAATTTTAACCATTCTGTGTAAAACACTTCAACCTCTATCAGACAGGATTGAAAGATTTTGGGGATTTCAATCTTCAAGTTTTTTCACTGAGCGTTATTTGAGATTGGACCTGCATTTTGACTGCGCCATTGTAGCACACATGTGTTGTGATCTGAACCATCTGGCTTTTTGTTTAGAGCAATTGCTAACACATTTTCTTCTCAGAGTCCAATGATTTGTAAATTTGCCCAAAAGTTTAATTTTCTTCGCTTTTGACCAGTCTTCAAAATGCTTGATGTGTCCTCTACACAGTTTATGGCAAATTGCAACAATAGATTTCATCTTGAGCAGACGAGCTAATAGTTCACCTTCAGCTTCTTCAGAGGTATGTTGTTTTGGCTGTTCGTCCTGTTCATGATCTTCTTGAAACGCCCATCTGTTTAGGTGAGGCCTTCACAGAATAGGTGCAGTTATTAAAATACAAGATTGGATGTTACTTACATCTGAAGACAATTAATTGCAATTGATTTAATTTGAGTTAAGGGGAATATTGCTGTGGCTGATGCTACTTTGTTTTGGTCTTTCACATAAAATCCTGGTTAAATACCTTGAGACTTGTCGTAATCTGCCACAACCAAAAAAAGTCCATTGATTGGTGTATATAATTGTGCAATGCATTGTATGTTCCTTTCCTGCTTGGCCATCCTGTGCATAAAGCCTAGTTTGTTTGCAAATATATGAAAGATTTCATGTCTCTCACTCAAAATCATTAGGAGTGCAATGAAGAAAAATTGCCTGTTCTATTCATTTATACATTATGAGTAATAGAAGCCTAAGTTGCTTTGACAGTGTAATCGCTACTGAAGAGTCATGGGGCCTTGAGGCAAAGATAATGTACATAAACCACATTTGTGCATGCAGTCTTGTAAGACTGGCAAGTAAGTGTGTGTTTATATGTTTTTGTCTTTCGCTCTGGATGAAAGATGAAGACAGCAGGACATTTGTATTCACTTGCAATGTCAACAACCCACAGTCTCAATCTGTTACTATTCAGCATGAGATGTGAGAAGTGCACACTGCGAATATGTTTTAAATGAAGGGCAGAATGCAATAGCTTGGTCTGAGTAGCTTTGCTTGGATAACCTTTTGAGTTGTTACAGTATGAAGATTAAAACAGGACCTCTTGATGAAATGACCTTATTCGTTAACTCTCTCCTTCTGTTGAACACCCTTTCTGTCTGCCCTGCCTCCCTCGAAATACTTTATCCAACACCTCTCCACCTTTCTTGCACTCCTCCTCCCACTCTCCTGCCAAATGAAGTATATTTATGGCACCTGTGCTGGAAAAACAGTCTCCAGGAGACGTCCCTCTAATTTCATTTTCAAAATGCCAGCAATAAATTTATCAAATGGGCTGAATCGAATCGGAGTCACACGCAGTGCCATCCGTCATGGGCTGTCCCTCGGGGGCCTGTGGGCGTACTTAAGCCAGCCAAAAATCTCTGCTGGCAGGAGAAAAAAAAAACTGTGTGTTGAGAAGGAAAAGGGGGTGTGGAGTGGGTGTGTGAGAGCTGGGTGGTGGGGGTCTTGGAGGAGAAACTGGATGAATGGACTGGAGAAAAAAAGTGATGAAAACAAGGGCTTGTATGCATATCTTTATTGGCTTATATATCCACATATGCAGAAGTATAAATTAGCCGTCAGACGAGTGAGGATGGGCATGTGTGCACAGAGGTCAGTACAAATTCTTGAATGCATTTGGAACCTTAAGCCAGAATCTCAGCTAAGCACTTTGGCTGTCGTTGTGTTGCCGGCGTAACAATTGATTTACTACAACACAATTTAATTGATTGTTTTGGTCAATTTTGCTTCATTAAAACATTTCCAGTTTAAACACCAGTGTGTTCTTCAATTACCCCCCCCCACCCCCTCTGCAGTTTTCCAGAACCACGGGTTCACTTCCTCTTTGCTCTCAAATTCCCTTCCCATTTCTCCCTGACTCTTCCTCGCGATCTTTGCTTTCTCTTTCAATGCTTGCATCCCAGATTTCTTTTGTTTCACATCTCCTTCTCTTTGTCTTTCATTTGTTTCCCTCTCCCCTTCCATTTATCACACTGCAGGTTAAACCAGGCATGAGCACGGGTAAAGTAGCTTAGCACTAACAGTTCTAATGAAGTCAGGCGCCGTGTTCCTCGAATGGGGATCAGTGGAGCTATTCCGTGAAGCCTGTCAGCATTTAATGATTAGATGAAACATTCAGACGCCTGCTATGAGAAATTCAGGCACACTGATAAATGGTAATTCCCAAGTGGAGGTCTTTCTTACACAGATCTGCAAACCATTTATGCATGCTCACACGTTCTCCTCACACGCACACATGCATTTTCTGTCCTCCCACTTTGGACAGGTCTAGATTTATGAGTTAAACATGGCATGGAGGGTATATTCAGCAGTCTGATTGGAAGACAAAACAAATGGCAGAGTGATTCAGAGATTGAGCAGTCTGAGCCATTGATTCCTGGTTTGTGCAGAAAAACCTGCTGAAAAACGCATGCAACACGAAACAGACTTGTCCCTCACCTTGATGAGTAGATAGTAAACAAGTCTGTTCAGGAAGTGTTCTGTGATGCTTGATTTTCCAGATCAAAATGGGTCAAAAGGACTGTAGCTTCAAACCTTTTTGAACATCCCTGGCTCATTGTGAATTCTCCTAGAGTCAGTTATGCTGTGTGCTCACATTTTGCAGCTAAGTCTGTGTTTGTTGTTGCGAGTGTGTCATAAAGTGCAACAGCAGGAGGGCATTTGTTGGTACGTTTAACTGCTAAAATGAAGAAAAGTGACAGAGGCAGTGGTTGGGTCAATGAGCTGCCTGTTTGTCAGAGTGAAGGGGTGCCTTCCAGGGACTGGCCGCGTTTTGCCCCATTAGCCACATGCTAAGTTACCTATCAACTTAGAGCTACCCGAGGAAACTGCAGACTTTCAACGTCTCTGTATGATTGTAATTTATGAGCTTTTCCTGATTACATGGCTTTGCTGAATTGGAAGCACATTCTGTCCTTGTACGATTAATTAAAATTCTCCACCTCTATCTTTTCATCCCCGGCTGAAAAATCTGAGGACGCTAGATTTAAGATAAATGCGTGACTTTCAGCTAATTTCAAGCTGTCACTTCAAGTCTCTCCTGGATCTAATGGTTCACAAAGCTTTTAAAACGTACTTGTGGAAGCTACTTTAAAATGCCATTTTATGAGTGGAGTTGTCTGGCCAAGAAGTTGGAATAAAATAACATTTAGAAATGCCCACTGGGCTCCGGTTAGCCTCTGGTAGCTTTTAAATGCCTCTCACTATCTATAAAAGAGTGATTGTTTCCTCCTCTATGTATATCATTCTCAGACTTATTAGCTCAGGTTCTGCTGATCAAAGTATTTCTCAGCTCAAATGTAGACTGGAGTATTATCAAATGGATCTGTTCTACATGCACCCATGGGCTCTTTCTACTCCCAGTTTTAACTAACTATAACCACATCAGGTTGCATACTTTCACATCTTAATACTAAAGTTATTCCCAAATATTTTAT